CGCGGAAAGAGGCAAACCGGTTTGCGACGCGCCGTTTTACCGGCGAAAAACCGTACGTCGCCCGGTACCGATATGTTTTATACACGCGTTGATCTGTTGATGATTCCAACGGACAATTAATATATAATTAGACACGGGTGCCGGTACGCGTACACTTTTCGTTTTGTTTGTATAGAACGTACCGACACACATCTAACGATAAAATCGTATGCTCGTCGCGCGCTATCTGATAGCCATGCTCCGCACATACGCTCCTGCAAATACGGGCTGCAGAATTCCGTGGTTTCCGTAAATACTCACACACGAACAATACTCGACTCGTGAATAGGCTGACATGGAAAATTCTTGGCACAGAGACAAAAAGGCCGACATCCCTTTGTAATTCTAGCTAGAAACAGTATTTTTCTCATCGAGGCAAATACAGCATTGAACAACCTTCGATCGTTTGAGATAGTACTGTATTTTCTAACTAATTGAAAGAAGGACTTACAATTAGACACTTATTGTACCTGCTGTATCAAATATATTTATATATTATTAAATGTATATGTATGTATTAAATTAATACATATGGGCATGCGCATAATTTAGCACATGGTGTCTCATAGGAATTTTTATTTTTTGACGACAGAGAAATACGGGAGGTCAAACACTATCTTTTCTCAAATCTGACAAGTGCTTTTTTCTCTCCTTGCGTATATCCGCTCGCCAGACGCTATCTCATCGGGTTAGTGCATTCCGCCGTCGTATGCAACCTGCGAGTCCCGATTTTTCCGGTCGAGAGATCGGGGATCGTACTTCAGACACGTGCAAACTAACTTATGACCTTTGCATTATCCATCGTTTTACCGATTTAATCTAACACGTGAGAAGGGAATCGCTATTGTACCGTGCTGCATATCGGCGCGAAATATCGGAGTATCCAATAACGGAATAGGCTCTTAAACTCGAAAACATCAATTTTAATGAAACGTAAAATGTATGCAGGAAAAAGACCGCAGTATAAATTCAAAACTTTTAGAGTCTTAGAAGATGCGACTTTTGATTTACGGAGATAAGATTAATTTTTGTAATCTATCAAACATCGTAAATATATATACTTATTTCATTCGGAGATTTTGGAGCGCAAGAGCCTTTTGGTAAAGCCACGTAAAACAGTTTTAAAGAGATCGGAGTTTTCTCCCATAATTCAAGAGACTAATTTCTGAAAGTTTCTTCCTACTGCGTTTGCGTTTGACAAGACACTTTCGTGCAGAACGGTTTTCAATATCTCCGATATATCGGAAATATTGGAAAATTCTCCCATCGGATTTGTCCGCACATATACGAAAAGGGAATTCGTTAGAATCAATATTCGGAAACGAATACGCTGTTGATAAGTATGGGAGGTGATCCTCTCGGATATGCGCGCACACACACATATACACATACACACACACACATGTATCGAATCCGCTCTCCGTGAATCGGCGGTCGGCAAACTCCAAAGGGCCACTTCCGAATTGCCCACTTGGGATCCTATCTAATGACGATAATTAGATAACCGAGTACCGCGATAATTAAGCGAGAGTGGCGGTGCGCCGGCCGAACAAAGCGCGTCTGTCAATTACCGGCTTTGTTCTTCGGTTCCGTTTATTTCTGTGTCCCGACCGCGCGGTCGACTTGTCACGCATCTCGCCGGCTCGCTGTTCAAGAGTTTCCTCTGGACTGATAATCACGAGACGCGGATAAAGGACGACGGCGTTTCCGCGTTATTATCCGCGTTATTCTCGCATACACTACTTACCGTCGTTATCCGCTAATCTACCGTCTTCTAGCCTTTTTGCATTCATCGTACAGCGATTACACCGGCGAAGTTAGTTACGTAGATATAAATTAATCCTTAAAGAGGTAGTGGGCATAATTGCGGACGTCCCGCAGTTCCTTGAACTCTTCCTCATAAACGTTTCCGTTTGTTGCTATTTTAATTACGAAACAAAGTACAAGCTTTAAAAAGAAATTAATAAATAAAAATATAAAAATCGAATTAATAAATATTCTATATAAAATATCGTGATATCGAGTTTGTGTAAACATTTACGTGAAACGAATTTAAATTATTGCAACATCGTTATTTCGTTATTAACGCATGACGTGTTTCAAGCGTATATTATTATCGTTATTGCGTTAAAGTTTCGTTTGTCTTTTATTTCTATCGTAAAAAGCACCGCGTACGCGCGGTATGCGCTATACTATTTTTTGTTAAGTAAAATATCGTATACTCGGGTCGGGTTAGGTAAAAAGAACTTGGTCATCGTGCGAGCGTATTTCTGTCATAATTGCGTCATAATTGTGCACACGCCGCATGCCACGCTAGCAAATTATTTACGTAATCGGCGTGGGGCGATAGCAAGCAGATATTTTGCGAAATGATCACATCGTAAGTTAACACCGGTAGTATTGGTTTCACCTGTGAATATTACGTTTCTCTCGCTCCCATCTCGCTCCTTTCCATGTCGCCCGTCCACGGCATCACGTTCCGCGAGTACGTAACGAATAATGCGCGAATCCTGATCAGTCGATTGTAAACGCACCTTCCGGGAAACGTCGGTTGCGACGCGCCACGTTGTGCGCTGGCTAACAATGTTAAGTTTCATTCGCGCGCGGCCTCGGACCGGAACGTGCCGAACGGTGAACGGTGCACTCGCGCCCGGAGTGTCACGCGTTGCATCGGAATTAGATGCACTCGAAGGTGCGCCATGATAAACGTTAACTCAGTTTTTCTTTGGCCCATCGTCCTCTTTTTTCGTCTTCTTCTCTCCTCGGAGCGTAAAGTTCCATTTTGAGCACGGAAAGTGTGTAAGAGCGTGCTGAAAGAAGGGAATTATTGGAGCAGAACAAATATATACACGGAGAAAAGGATTTATTAACAGCATTAGCCAACAGCAGTCTAGTTGCAAATAATCTTGTTCATTCAATAAGTATTAATAAAACAAATAACATTTTATTAAAACACGAGCACGGCGTATTTTTTCTATTAATACTGGCATCGAATTAAAATTATTTTTAACGGAAGAGTTTGCTATACAACACAGTGTGTTCTGATTTGTTTTATAATATTAAATTTTATAAAAATGAAGAAACTCTAAAGTTAAAGTGATAAACTTTAGATTTTACATTTTATTTTAGAATGTTATAATTTTGAAACAATGTGAGTTAGCTCACTGTTGCAGCAAGTTCTCTCTCTCTCTCTCTCTTTCATTAATTCCGTAACCGTTATGTGCGATTAATGGACCTCTCTGCGTCAATACGAGAGTTCACATACACGTGATAGACATCCGTGACCGACAGTCGCGAGGAGAAGATAATTCGCGTTCGTCAGGTGTTTGCCGATTTATGCGATATTGAACATATTGATGCTGGATTAATAGCGAGCGTCTCCCTTCTTCCGGTAAACGGGACATGTAACGTAACGAGTCCATGTGGCAAAAAGCAGTTCATTTTGGATATTGCTGTAGTTTCTGGGCTAACGCGCCATTAAATCAATATTACGTGACACATCGCGGATTGCGGTGATCGGTTTATTACAATCGCAAAATTAGGCAAAGGTATCCCGCGCGTGCCTCTCTCTCTCTCTCTTGTCGATCTCTTTTATTTTGCTTTCTCTCGCGCGGTAAAAGTAGTCCCGTCACGTAATTCTTTTCCGAGCGAAATGGATCTTTTTGTGTCACTTCTTTCGTATTTATACTTGTATGTTTATCTTTCTTACATACACGGAGAGGAGTTGTACTATTTCGGTGTTTTCTTTCTATCCATTCATCTCTGTCGTTCATCTCATACATAAGAAATTTTCCTCTTTCTTTTACTATTCTAGGATTTTGTTCTTTTTCATTCAAGTTTAATAATATGCTACACTTACTAAAATAACTCTCGCTCTGGTACACAACCGAATTAATAATGCCTTCGGAGCTAGGGCGCCCTACGCGTGAATAAACGCGTATTTCTACTTCTCTCCCTTTCCCTATATCCTTGACGCTTACGTCACTCCAAGAGGGGAGAGGAAATACGGGCGGAAGTGAGTGTAACGGTATCAACGTGGAAAAAGGGATTCGAAGCCGTGCACGGTTGTATATTCTCGTTTTAGACGCTTTGTATGTTCCTGAACGAAATTCGTCACGGTCGTTGCACTTTGCGACTCTACGGCCGCCGCGCCGCGGCACCTTTCGTGAGACTGAAAGAAAGAGAGAAAGAGAGACGTTGACCGCGCTCGCGCGCGAACGAAGGCTACGGAGAGACCGACGAGATTTTCCGCTTCGATGTTTAGAGAACATGTGTGTTTAGACTACACTCCGCGCGCAAGGTTTGTTGGCGCGCTCGCACGATCCGGGAGCGCCGGCACGTGCTCGCGAGTGTATACACGAGAGCGGCTGGTGCGCACATGGCCGCGCGTACGTGCATCACGTACTTGACCGGGTCAAACATCGGCGCGGCAGCCCGCAGCCGTGATGGACTAATGAGAAAATTTCGAACGACCACGCAGGCTGCGCAGGCACTTATCTAGTTATCTCGAGTCTCCCTTTATCTCCCCCGATATACTCTCTCACCCCGCCTGTATCTCTGCCTGTATCGTCGTTTGGAATGGTACATTGAATATAAAAAATAATGGCATTAAACAGGGTGTCCTACTTGTGTTTTCAATGGCAGATTCTATTTGATCTAAGTTTGATTTTCTCGTAGCGAAAATCGTTACGGTGATTATTATTTGTTGCATAGTCATGTAATAACATGCGATACAAGTAAGAACTTTTTAGAGCGAGATGATAAATTACCGTTAGATAGGTAATATATTTTAATTAAAAAAACTTGTAGATTATCTGGATGTTTATTCAGCTTTTTCCATATATATTTTATTTTGATTTTATAAAGATAAATATTTTTTTACGTTTTTATCTCACGTTTAAAACTTTATTATTTTGCCTCTCTTTTTCGTTCATGAGTCGATCACAATGAAATTCTTTTAGGCGCCCTTAAAAGAGGAACGGCGCGCAACGAATCAGCATGGAGCCAAAGGAGGCAGTCTTCGGTAGCAATATCTCAGAAACGGACGTGCGGCATAATCGGGACTCGTTTACGGGTGACGGGAAAGAAGCGAACGTGCGAGTTCTGTCCGTCGACAAAGTTACCGTCGAGAAAATCGTCCTCGAATCTTCGAACGGATCGCGAGAAGTGTTGCTAACGAAGAACGAGTCGTCGAGAAAATTATCTCTGAGTTCGGAGACGAGTTCGAATGTCGTCGAATGCGTGAGAGACGAGCGGCAGAAATCGGCGAATAACGATAGATTTCGAGTTTCGATATCGGAGAACGCGTCAAAATCAAAAGATTCTATTCCTAAATCCGTCGTGTCGGGCGGTCAATCGAAACTTCCTATTCCGAAGAGCCGGAAGAGTAACGGTGTTAGTATTTCGAGCGAAGAGACTAGAATCAAGCCGATCAAGTACCCTAAAAGCCCGTCGATCGGTAGCATCGTAATTAAAGATTTGAATTCGGCGAACTCTATTGTCAAGAAGAACAAGGTACCACCGAAGGTCCCGGAGAGATCTGTAACTAAAAATGAGCGTAATTCATCTTTGATAGTGACTTCGGCCTCCTCCACGAAGACAGAATCTTCGGAAGATTTATTGTCGAAGGGGGAAAAAGTTGTTGACAAGACAGTGGCTGAGGTTAAGCAAGCGCAAACTGAGCAAGAACTTCTCGAAGCGGAAGATTTTGCGGGCGATAAAAAAGGTGACGACAGTATAAGCTCCGCCGAAATCGATAAACGCAATGAGACATCGGATGCTACGAGCGTGAACTGCAAACGTGAATCGGACGAAATAGAGATTTACAACGACGTTGAAAATCGCGGAGGATCAGACGCGAGTATCGACAGAGACGTGCGGGACCGCTTGGAGAAAAGCCAGTCGACTATCGACGATCTTCAGAAGAATCTGAGCACCAAGATTCACGCCAGTACTGCGCGGAGCTACAAGGAGAAGCTGCTGAGTCTCCGGGCGAATTATTTTCGGAAGTCGCCGATTATCTCGGAGTCGAATTGCAGCGAGATATTAAGTTCCGGATTCGACAAGGATTTCCTCGAGCGGCACAACCTCGATAAGCAGCTAAAAATCGAGGAGAAGAGGCTGCTGGAAACCGATCTCGATTACACGTCCGACAACGAGGCCGACGAGCGGCCGTCGGGTGAGATCGACGTCAAACGCAAGTACAGCGAGAAGGTGACGGAGGTGGAGAAAAGGTGGTCCGGGGAATTTTTGGACGATCGCTTGCAACGGAACTCCTCGGAATCCTCGAAGTCGTCTTACGTCGAAGAATTCGGCAGCGTGTCCTCGCGCGAGAGTATCGTCGAGGATCGCGACGCCCAGCTGCTGTTTGACCGGAAGCATCCGGAGGCGAAGTACGCGGGGAGGCGAGCGTCGATCGACGAGCCGAAGAGACGGACTTCCGAGGAGATCGAAAACAGCACCGTGAGCACCGTCGACTCCGATTCATGTCTGGAGGACAGAATCAAGGCGATCGACGAAGACATCGCCCAGGTAGCGAACGGAGAAGACGAGATACAGACGGACGATAACGATAACGACGATATTATCGATGGATCTGATCGAGCTTACGGCGGCGAGGAAGATAAAGATTGCGCTCGGTGGAATGAAGAAGTAGAGAGAGCCGATACGATTCTCATTACAACGGCAACTCACGAGGATCTAAATTTAAGAAAAGAAAATATTAAAAGTGACGCGATTAGCGTTACTTACGATCCGAATTCGAACGAAGTGACGACTAACTGTGAAAAGAATATCGAGGAGGTGAAAAACGAAATACCTCTTATCGATCGGAAGAATCTTTTAACGGAAAAGAGAAACGATAAAATTTGTAATTCTTTTACGGTGGTCAACTCGAAGGAATCCACCTATCCGACGACTTTCGTTGTCCGAAGTAATCGCGGCAGCGACGGTTACGCGAGTCTTATAAAGGAATTTGCAATGGAGGCGGGATCGTCCAAGGTGAAGAAGGAGGAGAAGCAGAAGAAGAAGCTCGGCTTTCGGCGTCTCTTACCGGCTATCTTCTCGCCGAAGGACTCGCGAAAGGAATACAAGAAGAAGGAGCAGAAGGAGCGACGGAGATACGACGAGCGACACTTCGCTCGTTATCAGCAAAATGGAAATTACACGAGGTCGCCGGACACGATGAATCTGAACGAGGACATCAAGAGAAACGTTAAACTTGACAACAGCCTGAACGGCTCCATCATCGAGGAGAGACTGGATGAGATCAAACGAGAATTGTTCCCCGAGCAGGGGCCAATCACTAGTACGCCCGATCACTTCCTGCAGACGGACGACACGCGACTTCTTCGCGAGAGACCCAGAGGTCAAAGGTCGTACACCGCGGACTCCAGTCTCAGCTCGATCGCGCCAGACGAGCGATGGCTGGAGAGAGGCGGACAGTTCGGCATCTCGCCCGACGTCAGGAAGTACGAGCAGCGGCAGAGGCGCGAGGAGCAGGACAGCCGGCGATACGGCCATCTGGAGCGTAAACACAGTCTGCAGGAGCCGAATCACGGCGCGCGTATTTATGTCTTCCAGAGGAATCACGGTGCCTCCGGCCGAATCTCGGCGCCGCCTGGCGAACGGTATTTCGTACGGTCGCGTGCTATTCATCCCGTTGACAGGCCGCTACCGGAGATCCCGCAGTCGCGACTCGAGCTGTCGAACTACGAAAATTATCGGGACGGCGTTGATCAACTGTGCGACAATCTCAACGATTTGGACGTTGCCGACAACGTGGATTTCCGAAGCCAGTCCGGGCTTTACCAGAACAGGAGCCTCGAGGCGGGTCTGATTCACAATTCGCCGCAGTCGGTTGCCGCGCAAGTTAAAATCACTCGACAACCGATCGTGAATCAAAATCAGAGAGCGCCGTTAATCGGAAGAAGCCCGAAATATCCGTCGTCCGGCTCCAGTCAAAAGTCCGGCGATTACGCCGATTCGAGTTGCACGCCTAACTCGAGTCAGAAGAGCGAGTTCTCGCCCACCAGCTCGAAGAGCGGCGAGTATTATTTAAACTCGCCTCGTAGCAGTGCTCGAACTTCACCCGCCGACCGGCCGCTTTTCGAAGACGCGCGCGAAAGGCTTTACGAGAACGAGGGTCAAACCGTGACTTCTCAGCCGTCCGGTAACTACATCGAGGAACATGTTTACGACGAGACTCCGCCGTGTCGTGAGGAACATTTTTCGAACACAGAAGTGTCGGACTGTATAGCGGAGAATTCGCCGAAGAAGAGAAATGATGATATGGTGTTCGAACTAAAATGTTCACCGAATCAACAATCACCCTCGAAGAATTGTTCCTTGCAATATTGCGAGGATAATGAAAACGCACGAATGGAGTCGAAACAAGAAATCGAGAAATCACGCGAAGATTGTTTAAAGAGTTACGAGACTGCTGACGTAAGTTTGAAGAGCGACTCACTGGCGTGCAATCAAGCTGAGAGATCGTCCATTCAGAACGTATCACCATCGAAACTTGGCGTGACGGTAGCGACGTCGCCATCGGTGGGATCTCGCGCCAGGAGGTCACAGCCCGACGAGCAAATTCTGATAGCTTCACCCAAGCGAGAAGCCATCTGCCAGTCTCGAATCTCTCGGCCGTCGAACGAGGCCAGGATCTGCAACGCGGAATCGCCTGTGCCCATCGCGGATTCGCGCGGAGATCACGGTGTGATCTCTGGCATCGTCCCAATTGAAGTGCGAAATCAGTACGGCGGCCAGAATTCTTCCATCCCGAGAATGGGGAGATCTATGGGACAGAGAAGTCCATTATTCTGCGGCTTTTCGAAAGGTATCTCGCGTCCCGAGCCGATTTACGGACGGTCGAGCCCCTCGCGCGGCAACACGGTGACCAGGGAGATGAGAGAAGGCGGACGCGAGAACGATCAGTTGCCGCCACCCGATCCGTATGGCTCGACCAAACCGTGCCGCGACGTCGACGAGAGAACAGCTCGGATTCATAGTAATTCGACGTCGCAGAGCCCGCAGTTATGCGTTTCAGAGACCAAACAAATGCTCACCGAGCCGGGGAGAATAGTGGCACGATCCCCGATACGCGAACCGTCGAACGCGGCTCAAGATATTTGTCAACAACGGCGACACGATACCGTTCAGCAGCAGCGAACCCCGTTCGTGGCGGCAGCGACGACGTTGGAGGGTCGGCAGTCGTCGCCGACCACGAGCCAGGACAAGATGTACGTAAGCGCGAGTTCGCTTCAGCGCGAGCCGATTTACGAGCAACGTCAACGGCAGTATCAACCGCAGCAGCAGCAGCAGCAGCAGCCGCGACAAGGTCAGGAGCCGCACGTTCAGCGAGTCGACGCGACGTGCGGCCAGCAGAGTTATCCGACCTGCGGACTGTTATCGCCCTCGAAGCAAAAGACCAGGCATGCCCTGGAGGTATTTTACTGGCAGCAAAAGGCGATAGAGGCGCAACGGAAGTCGGCCGTTTCGTCGGCGAGGCAGTCGGCGAGGCAGATCGCGCCGAAAATCGATCTGCCGGAGGTGCGAGATGCGGTGTACTGGCAACAGTTGAAGAGGCTCGACGAGGAGCAGCAGCGGCGGATTTACGAGCAGAATCTGATGGAGGACGGGCTGTACGAAGCGCATCACAGAACGAGAACAGGCAGTGTGACGAATCAAGCATTCAATAACGCTGCGGCGCTTGGTTCTGTCATTCACGGGGAAAGATCTTACTGGAGTAACGTGCAGCAGCAACGTCTCAAGATGAGTCCGGCCGGAAAGCCGCCGTTAATGCAGGTGCAAAAGGGTCAGAATCAGCCGGTGCTAATAGTCAGGCCGCAGCAAGCGCTGCGGGATCGTCAGGAGATGTTAAAGTCCATAAACCCGCGTGATCTCGCGGTATACGACAGCCAGAGGTCGAAGAGCGCCTCTCCGCACTTTCACAGAGGCGACATTGAGCGTACCAGTCTTCACGCGACGTGTAGAAAACCCGTCGCGGACGGTAGAACTGGCACACCGTCTCCGGCGAGGAAGCCGGAAGGGATTTACGAAGAGGATGGCAGGTACCTCGACGGCGAGGTAAGACCTCGACCGCATCCTATATTCAAGAGAGGAAGCTTAATAGGGGGAGAGTCGGTGGAGTACGGAAGTACCGGTCCCAAGAGGGTCAGTTTCTCCAATCAGCCGAACGCCGGACCGGAATTAGCGGCTGGCAGCTGGCCGACCAAGCACGGAACGGCACCCGAGCCGCCCACCAGGCGACACAGAAGCGAGGACAGCGCCTCGGACAGCGACTCGGTGTTTTTGCCTCAAGATCGACACGACGGAACTCAGGACGCTTCGTACGTTACCCGTAACCCGGGCCCGAAATGTCGCTCGGACGGCAGTTGCTCGGAGCAGGAGTACGATGCTAACAAACCTCTGCCTCCTCTGCCCAAGGACTCCCTGATAATTTCCCGCCGTGGAAATAGTGCCAGGAGTTACGCCTGCAGCGACGTCCGATGGAACAGCGAGCTGGAGCAACGCGGCTGTCGGCGAAAGCGGAGCGGTGAGTCGACTCTTGATTTATTTTATTTTTACGAAGAATGCTAAATTAATCCACGCTAGACATACTAAAACTTTGTGTCGACGTTTTAAAAAAGAATCGTTAACATTTTGTGTCGATCGCGTTTTCCTTGGAATGAAAATAATATTAAAGATTTAAAAAATCTAGAACAAAAGCTGCAAATGTGAGTAATTGTTCCAATTAAAAAAAAAAAACTTTTTAAGCTATAATAACTCGTATTGCGGTACTCGTGAACGCAGTCGTGAATTCAAACCGTCGAGATGAGAGAAAGATCGTTTGCATTTATCTGCTGAATCGGCGGGAAGTCGCGAGAGAGTAAGCCCCCGCGCGGGCGCTTTTTCATCAAATAATCCGAGGGCGAGGGTGTGCTTTGCAGCTCGTAATTCGGTCTATACGATATGCATGCACGAACCGCACGACACGACTGCGTATGACCGTGCATTCGAATGAGCCTCTTAAGACGCGGAGACGCGTGCATCGCGTTAGGGCACGTTCGCGCCCAGCACAGGGGCGAGCGAGAAAACCGAGTCGGTCCCTTCGCTATACTTCTTCGGATCTGCCGACAGTGGGGCACTAAGACGCCGGAGGTCTTACCGTGGATTTGCCGTTTTCCGTGGAACTGCCGCGAGGTCTGTCTTTCGCATACAAATATATAAACGTCCGATTTTGGTCTCGGCGATTACCCAGACCTTCTTCCTCCATTTGCTTACTTGCCTATTTAGCCGATCTCTCTCTCTCTCTCTCTCGCTTAAGTCGTTTGAAGCTGTGCAAACAGCGCGCGGTAAACCAAAGATAACACCATCGGCTGGCTGAATTTTAAGATTAACCGCGACGCGTTTACTTCGTCACTTGAAACGACGCGATCCTTCGTCACTACGCAAATGCGCCTTTGGTCTCTAACACCTTCTTTATTCGATAAAGTTACGTCGCTCTTCAAAGGACGCATTTTAATGTATCTAGTGCTATCACGTACCGCCTCATTTCTTGTTTGAAAACTTATTTGCATTTGTTTTTGTTTAAGAACGTCGGAAACGGTATATTAAATTGATTTAAAGGATTTATCGTGTATAAAGTTCCGTTTTGAATTTCTAATTAAATTACGTCGTTTTGCATAAAGCACGATTTAATATATATTGTAATAAATATATATATGTATATATAAAATATATTTATATTTATTATTAATATATATTTTATATATTTATATATACATATATTTGTATTTATTTCTTAAAAAATTTTTTTTATTCTCTTTAAAAAAATATGTACATATCTTACTGGCTTGCGGCTCAAGTTATACAAAGTATAAAAATATAAGTAGGCTAGTATAAAGATAACAGCGAAAATAATTTAGAAATACGTAAGTATTTAAGGAAGACATTTATATAATGAGGAACAAAACTAAGAACAAAAGATATTTTTTCAGAACAACAAATCCTTTCGAAATGCAATCTCTTTCCTTAATTTTTATTTGATATTGCATTTTTCTGTCGCTACTAAATCGACATATCTGTTAGAAATGCAGTTCACAATCTTCCCTTAATTTTTATTTGAAGAAAGACGTGTTGCGCGTTAATGACATTTATTAGAGTATAAGAGTAATATTATCTCAGATTATTCAGTGGGCAGAATCACGCCTCCGGGCGGTAGATCTTTCCGCACGGCGAACAGGGCAATTAATCGCTCGTTTAGACTGCAGTAAATAGGGTCACTGACATTGCATCCCGGTAAACTGTTCGACCGATGCGTAAGACGTTGCTTCACCGACCATGCACTTTTGTACTCCCACGCTCTTCCGGTCGTGAGATGCATCGAATCGCCTACACGGAAGAGGGCTTCGTCGCGCAGCAGATAATATTGTCGATAATATTGTTGCGTCATACGAGACGTATAATGTTACAATTAACGTTACATTGAGGTAAATTACAAGTTTGTATGTTATACGTGAACCATTTTTTTAAATTATAGCTTTTGCAGTATTAATTTTCTCGTATGATGCAGTTGTGTATTTATTTAAAAAGTTTAATGCAAAAAGTATTTTTAACATAACGTAAGGTATTATATTACATGCACGGATACTCTCTTAATTGATTAATTGAGTAATCTGTTCATGTTTTCTAATTTTTTGTCTGATAAATTTTAAAACGGTCGATTGTTGTCCCGAGAGGGCCGAGAATATCTTGTACTTTGTAAATGAAGGCAAGGGGAAGAGAAAAATAGCTGCGTAAGGAAACAAAACGTAGCAAGATATGAGACGTAGACTCTATTTCAACTCCGACCTCAAGCATCTTCACGCTCATTCATGTAAAATCCACGATATTGCCCTGCAGCATTGCATTAGAATTTTATAGCTTCGGGAATAGTACAGAAAGTGCGCGCGATTCTGGATACGTCACAGAAAATGTTGCCGCCTAACAAGGATGTCCTCTTTTGATTTTCAACAGAGTTTATGTGATTAGCTAAATTGCATTACATTTAGAACTAAACTAGCTTTACTGTTGAAAAATGCGCAACATTATTATAATAACGCAACGCAAGGATTAAATAATAAATTTTCCTTGCATTCGAATATTCTGAAATTGATATACGTGACATAAAAATGTAAGAAAGCTAACAGTTATTTTTATTATCAGTTCAGCAATATATATCAGATATATTTCGCTTGTTTGAAATTTTTATCATAGCTTATCGTACGCACTTTCGTACAAAGTACATACAAAAAGAAATAAATGTTGTATTAACAGCATTAGTCTAATTAAAAGTAATCTTGTTAATTCATCACATCGTGCGCTTGTTTTGATAACACACGAATTCGTTTCATTATATAATACTGCAGTTCTTGAATTAACAAAATGAATGTCAATTTAATATAACATTATTTCTATTCTTCTATACTGAATAATTATTATGCCGTATATGACATATCATTTGTACGTACTTCTTAAAACGCCGGTAACGAAATCTCTGTATTTATATGAGGTTGTTAAATCCAGCCTCATACAATCAGGCGGGTTCAATGATCTCTTTGTAACCTCGCCATCAAATGATAGGCAAAGATCGGGGACGATAATTGAGTTCTTTCAGCATCTCTTTTCGGTCGAGAAGGGAGCGCGGCCGAGATTTTCTTTTTCCCTTTATTCTCAGTTCGCGCACGAACGTCGGTTTCGCCCTGGATCTCCTCTCTCTCTTTCTCTCTTTTTCTCTGAGACGAAACGGCGAAAAATCGGGGATCAAAAGACGGGGCGAGGACATTATCCTTCCTTTAATGCCACTTGAACGCCGCACTGGTGCACGAAGCGATTCCCGGGGACAAAAGAATTCCTGATGAGGAAGTAGAATAATAGTTTGCCGAATTTCCACGCGCGCGTTGCACGGCGCAATATCTATGCAGATTAACCGGCCCGCAGATGCAGATTTGAATGTTCGATGTTTGGAATTGAGAGTCATGCCAACGCATTCCCCGGCCTCATAACGGAGGTAAAACAACGATCCCGGCTATCTGGCCGTGCTAGTTTTATCCCTCATTAATTACGTGTTATATTACGCGCATATCCATGCGCTTTGCGATAGCGAATAGATAATTGCTCTCGCAAAACTCGTTAACCCTTGCGCTATATTTCTATTAGTCATTGGACTGACGGTACACATGCCGATATATTGTCACGAGACGGATACTTGAGAAGTTTTTATTGACATGTAAAATCGATACACTTGCCAAAAGGAAAGACAATTGAGGCAATTGTTATATTGTTTGATTCTTCCTCGAATTATCGACATATCTCGTAGATTGACGCAAAAATTTATTTTTCAGCTGTGAGACTATCCAACGAGATTTAACAGTTATATTTTACAATATGTGACTTGACGTATTGATTTAATTAGTACAGCTTTGATTTTAGAGGCGGTTATATTTAAAAAAATATTCTTTAAATAAATATTCAAATGTGCGATTTGAATATTTTTGTTGTTGCAATTAAATGTTTAGAGTTCATACAAGTACACGAAATTCAGAATAAAAATTTTCTTTTCTGGATAGATGTATTGATTTGAATAATTAAAAAATTGGGAACTTTATTCGCGAGAAAGAAATACGTCTGTGACTGTTTCATGTAACACAAATATTTGTTACATATGCGTTGCTACATATTTTTCTATGTAACAGAATACTGTAGGAAAAAATTTCTCCCGTTCTTTGAAAAACTTTATAACATACGAACAAGGCTAAACAAACATTACAAACGCACAAGGATAAACGCGTCTCATATCAATGCAAGTACACAAATTTAATAAAGAAAAATATCACTCGTCCAGATATCCAATTAATAACGATGAGGATAATAAAAAATATTTCTCCTCAGACATAGAAATTGAATAACTTTTATTTATTCAGGAATTCAAAAGTTATTGATGTTCAAGTGCGAAAGCGTCTTCTGTGAAAATTGTCTCTCAACAGGACATGTTTTCTCCCTCCGTTCATCCGTTCCATTTTCCCGCGCGCCGTTTCATCCCTTCGCGGGGGATCGCGCTGCGACCGCGAGTTCGCCGGTGCACTCCATCCGGCGAGGAATTACGCCCTTCCGTTGCGCGGTGCGTGTCACCGGCCGCGTACACATATCCGGGGGGTCGCTGGAGGTCGTCGAGGGAGAACGGTCGCATGTTTTCTATCCGGTCAGTACCGTACGGGAGAGAGAGAACGCGGCCCTGGAGGTGGGCGTACGAGATCGATTCCCCGACTCCATTCCCGTGACGTCACTGGAAGGGAAGATAGAAGGAGAGAGGAAGACGTCGGGGGTGGTTGGCGAATGGGGGATGGTATAGCCGGGACTTTCCGGGCGTCCCGGCGACGTATCGCTCTCCTCTCTCTGCTGGTGCCGCCACTGCTGTTGCCGTTGCGGCTGCTGCAGGT